TATCTATATATATATATTAACGCACACTTACGTTGTTGACCTTCCTCGACCCTTGTTCGTAAAATGAGGGCAGGAGTCCTGTCACAGGATGCTGGTGCACGAGGATGGTATTGTAGACCCATTCATAGTGGAACTGTAGGAGCACCTCATCTTTAAGCATATTGACTTATTACTACTTAATCGATGGTGACTTGATTGGCATAGATGTATTGTACACGGCGTGTGTGTGTATATTGCACGGTAGAGATGTATCCTAACGGCGCATGAGTGCAAACATGGAATCTAAGTGCCGAATAACTCCATCTTAGATCACCGATTTTTGAGACTACGTACTTAGATATACACTGTACTGAACTACCATACTATAACATGCAGCGCACTTGAACAAATTTAAAGTCAGACATGCATGGATCTACATATATATAGAGAGAGTATATATATATAGAGAGAGTATATATATATAGAGAGAGTATATATATATAGAGAGAGTATATACACTTACAATATATTATTTTTATATACTCTAAATTTATATATAAAATTTTTACGAAAACCTCTGTGTTATTCAGCTTTTCCCCAGCTGTGGCCCAAACTAAGTTTTCAAACTTGAAGCTTAGAGGTAAATTCTACCAATAGAGTATTGTCTATTTTTAGAAAAGCTTTTTTCGGCTGTCTGAAAGGACCTCCCATTTTATGTTTCATATCACTCTATATATCATATACATAGCGCCAGTATCCTATCGTGTATTTATAAATATAAAGCTACCTATTGTAATAAAGCACTTTGCACACGTAACCTTTCTTATTATTGTTATTATACTACATGGTTCGTACGAACGTTGGTGTTGAAAAGGTTGCAGCACTCTCCACGGCCGTGATAAGCTAATAGCCTGTCTACTTACAACTTTATAGAGGTTGCCTCTTACGTGCTGATTTGTAGTCATTCCTCGCTCAAGCTGGCACAGTAGCGCAAACGTCTATAAGCGGCATATACTCTGAATGCGGTGCGGGTGAGTGTGCTATGATGCTGCCTTGCTTGTACGAGCATATTAGTGTGAGTGTGTTGCTTGTCAACATATAACGGATTTGATTGCTTCTGATTGAGTCTCGGTAGTTTATTGCATGCGGGAGTGTGGCAGTTTAAGTAGTGTAGCTATGGGTAGATAGCTTTGAACGAAGAACTAAGCATATGGTTTCCTTGTTGTTGTTATCATTCAACATGTACGTATTTTATGTACCGATAATCAGCTGTCGCCGTCAACTGTATACTGGACACTGTCAGTGTATTTGATTCATCAATCTGGAGTCAGAGGTTGGTTTGATTCGATCTCGTTTCGTATTTACATAATGTGAGACATACCATTTGGCGTGCTGATGAGATCACGCTTCAGGGCAAGTAGTGCTTGCGAGCTTCACACAATAACGTCCTACATTAACAAGTAGCAGACAAGAATACCAAATGTATGGAATAGAATCATTTATATTGAATATCTAAGCTGCTTTGAACATAGGGAGTCTTCCGCCCAACAAGTCCAATCAATCTGTCCTCAAGAAACCAATGCACAAAGTAGTGCTGCCCGAAATACACACACGCTTGACAATAAAAGGTCTCCGCTGTAGGAGTGCTATCAGGAAATGAACAGCAACACTTGGGGTTATACCATCAGCAGATTGCGCATATTTATCACAACAACACTTATGACAAGTCTTGCGTTAATATACGTCACTCGTACACGCGTGATGTAGTAGTTGTGGCTCTTGTTGCGACTGAATGTATTTGAGTTGTGCTATAGTGTATCATACAATTAAAGTCCCGTGTTTCAGGTGCACTGAACAACCCAGTCTGTATCTGGCAGCAGAGATCAGTGCAAAGACGTGAGGACGAATCCATTGGTCCGCACACTAGGTGTAGAGGGAAACATATTGTGGGCTTTCTACTAGCCTTGCACCTACTAGAAGCACTCCTTATGTAGTAGTGGTGAGTGTACATTCAGAACTACACTCCATTGTTGGATAAGCGAGCAGTAGCTCATATTTGTGTGTACATGTGTGAGGGGGGGTTGGGAGTCACGCTTGGTGTAACGCCACAGAATTTAGTATCAAAAGGTGTAACCATTAACTCGGAAAAATTGTAATCTACAAGTGATCTGAGGTCACATAGACAGACACCGTGCCATCGGCAAAACCGGCCCAGATAAGAAACCGTTTAACTCGTTCACCATGGATATCCTGCGCAGCTATGAACGTATGTGCCACAGGGGTCGGAGATAGACTACGCGGATGTGTTCGAAATCTAATGTACAACAAGCTTGGATAAGGGTCATACTGATGTGTTTATAATGTATATATGTTGTGGGGCCGGTATTTGTGGTAGATGGTACATGGAAGGTAGACCTTCCAATGGGTGATGCTTTTTGCTTTCAGTTTGGAGCTCAGAATGATGCTATGCAAGTTACTGGGCTCTACACCTCCGGATCAAACCGTTCTTTTTGCTGCATGGAAAGTCACACATCCAACAAGTACAGTCGACTTTTAGCTAAAACACTAAACCCTAAAACCCTAAAACTCTAAGTTGTATCCTATCCACATGGCGCACACCGTGTACTGTGATCCAACACAGGGATAGCAGTATTCTACTGAAGCCTCTCCTCGCATCTGCTAGGCTTCAGCATACCCGCACCGTCCTATCATTCGCACTTGGTGTCTATCATATGTTATATGTGATATAAGAACAAGAACCTCACCTTCGCACGTGGTAGTATAGAATGCCAGGCCACTCCAATGGTTTTCTCAGTCCCTCTCTCAATTCACTTTGACTTGCGATTCAATCCTACCTGTTCGCTCGGCCCCCGATCACCCCAACCCCTACGTCACCGCTGCAGAGACTGTGGAATGGTATGTATACTGACCATATCCTAGTTAGCTTTAAACATAAACAAGATAAACCTTTTTCAACATCGTGTACGCTCAACTGACTACCCATGGTTAAGCCCCTGTGCTTATGAGGTGGCTATCTTTGCTGCGGTCAGTTCGGTAGTTCCAGCCCATCTGCACAGAAACTCTTCTGCATTAACATGAGCGCTAAACGGGACACTCAAGACAGCTGCGTAGCGTACTGTTAGCGAGTGGATCCCATAATTACTCTATTGCTATCCATATCTTCGTGACCGACCACGCTCTTCCAAACCCAAACATCGTGCTAAGTAACTCTTTCGAGCACCGCCTAAACAGACCCCAAGGGCTGACACACACTACTGCGATTCACCCGTTGCAATACGTTCCTGGTGTAGGGTAGAGATGACCATTGCGGGGGATGTGGGCACAATCCCTTCGGATTTGGTGCAGCAGCAGTACTATGAGTGCATGCGGGGCATCGGCTTTCTGCTGGAGAGTGATTCCAGTCCGATACGGAAGGTGTGCACTGGGATGGCTAAATACGAGCGCTCTCGCTGGCTCATTCAAGTCACCGCACACTCTCGTCATGACCACATGGGGTTGGGGTTTTAGGGTTTTAGGTGGAGCATATCCGCCCGATTCGGAAGCCTAAACACAATCTGGCACATCCACTCAGCATTCACCAAGTCTTGGCTCGTTAATCTATGTGCCCCACCCGATCAATTGCTGTACTTGTTGGCTCGAAACCACGGCTTATCCACATCACTGTCTGCCAAGTTCGCCCACGTCCGTCTCGCGCACCCTCATCTCATTCTCACACGTGGGCTTCGTAGTTTGTCCTCAAGCAAGTGCAGGCTGCTATAGTCACCAGACTGAAGCAACTAGAACTCGCCGAGGGAGAAGGTGAGATACAGATAGGTCGTTGCATGTGCCGGTTGAATGTTGGGCGGGGGTTGGTTGTACTCATTTCAAAATACTGTCTATACTTAGGATGATGATGATTCGTTCAGGCTCGCAGGCATCAGGTGTAAGAAGCAATATAGAGCAATATGTACACTCGGACAAATTGTAATATGTATACTAATATGCAGCAACATAAAAACTTCACTTAGCGTGGTTACGTGATGTAATCACGCATTGTAGCGGCCTCGAGTACCACATACCTCACAATCACTCGTATGTGTGGCTATATATATACATA